TTTTTTTTTTTTTTGGGGGGGGGGGGTCCTGATACCCGGAGTTTCATGATAATAAAGTAAGAAACAGAATAATTTACTTGAATGTTACCATGCTTTTCTTAGATTTGTACTGCATAGTCTTCATTTGACTTGTGGATCTGCAAAAGAATGTTTTTTTAATTTTTTAAAATGTGATAAAATCCATTCTGTATGATATGTTGAAATGCATAAGATGATGTTTCCAATGAAAAGTATTAATTAATCTCCAGACAAGGTAAATTCTTACTGAAAAACCAAAAGATAATCGGTAGAATTTGGTACTCTAATCAAGTACTTATACTACAGTAGACCTGTATAACTCTTGAAACAGTTTTTTCTGTCTGATTATTTAAAGATGTTAGGCAATTTATATATAATATTTATCTTATACCAAAAATTAAAGGCCCATCCCCAAGATTAATTTTCAATAAGCAATAACAAAGTTATAAACTGAGGAGTGATGTCGAGTCTGCTGTATATAAACCATGGTCACACAATACACTCACAAAATTTGGGAAACTTATTTTGAATAATTATGAAATAACTATATGAACTAAACGGAATATTTTGACCAAATTTCAATGGATAATGCACCCATCATTCTTTAAACTTTTTTCCCACTACATTACATAGATTTTCTATTATTGAAAAACAAATTTTTAGTTTCCAAACCTTTTTGGAAGAGTTAGTTCCCAATCAGAAACTTTTAGGGTTTGTTTATCAATTTTTTAAGCCATTGATTTTTTTCCCTTAGCCTTACATAAACAAGGAAAACGTAGCCTTATTTTCTATCAGTTTACAGACAACGGCTTTGTTATCCACCATCCCATCGCCATCATTGTCCAAGTACTCCGCCATGATATTTGCAGCGTGGAGCACCCTGGTGTCAGGTACATCTTCGACTGCCACAATATGGACGCCAAATACGTTTAGGTACTTTGTGAAGTAGGGCTTAAGGTCAGCTATACAAGGAGGGATAGGAGATATCGTCATGTTTATGCACCTGGAACTGGCTCTGCAAGGAGTCAAGTGGTTTGTGGCCTTTCGCTGGAAGAGATTTTACGTTACGTCCTGATTTGTAATATCACACAAATTGCTCAAAGAAGCTTGATAATATGAAAACCCCCCACCCCCACCCCCACCCCACCTCTTCAAAATTGTTTGGTTTGGAAAAATTAGAAATGTTGTTTCAGAAATGAGTTGGCCTGGTGTCAGGGGGCTAATTTTTGTGAGTGTCTGGAAAAGGTGAGTCTTGAAATATTAGATTAAAGTTTTCAAAGAAAATGAAGAATAATTTAAAGAAAGTTTTAAATTAAGTAATTACAAAATAACCATAAATGATTGTATGAAATATAGAAGATTGGTCTCCACAGATAGTCTAAAATCAAAGCAACCTCAGGAATGGTCTCAAGAAGGATAGACATGATGTTATTTAAAACTGCTTTGAGCTGCTTCTGTCAATATATATTTGAAGTTTCTTGGATTTTGTTCTGATTTCAATTTAACTAGGAAGATTTCAGCATTCTTTAATGCTTTAGGTATGGACAAATTTTAAAATGAACTTGCACAGTACATTTTGAAATTTTGACCAACACAAGATGTTTAACACTCTGAATTAGCACTAGCACCACATTTGAGGCCTTCTTAACAGCCATTTTACCTTGCTGGTGCCTAGCTGTTTATGGGATTTCCTGTCGAGATCAGATCTTTCTTCTACGAAATTGATTGATTCTGTGTGCTGATGACTCCAGCGACTTAGGCTTGGGATCATCTTGTCTGTCTCTGCCAGTTTTTGATTGTCTCTAGTGGCGTTAGCAACTACATACATTCCTCCAAACATCAGTAGTAGTATCCATAGGATGCAAAACTTGTTCCAGCCAAGTCGTGTTTGCCATGGTGGTAGTTTAATGGCAGCAATATCCATGTTATAACCGATTGCCATACTGTCTGTGAGATACACTCACTCAATATTCTAGATGTTATGATTGTCAGAGTATTCCATGCACGAGAGCTGCAATCTTCTTCTCTTCTAGAAATGTGTACATTTGAGACGAGGGCCTATCTGCAAAGTGAAATCATTCATATCGAGATCAGTCTGTTAGAAGTGAAACAAGACCTTTTTTGGATTTTTTTACCTATTTTGGATTTTTTGTCCAAATGGTCAATTTTTTATTTATTTATTTATTATTATTTTTTTAGAGGGCTTCTCTGATTTGATTTAGTATCCACCGTGTCAAGATTTTTTCGTTTAGCCACTCCACTAGGATGCCATGTTTTGCTTTCTAGAGATCAGCATTCAGTGTCCTCTCTAAATACTATTTTCTGACCCCACCTTCAATAATTACCAACCTCGCTCAAGTATCTATCTCAGTATTTTACCATTTTATGCGCCGCTCGGTCGTCAAGGTGTTCCTACTCGAGCAACAGGGTGACTCCCGCTCTTGCTACCAACACCAACCGTTATTGAGCTGAGCAAATAATTTCTTCCTCTCCTTTCATCTACTATTAATACAGACTACTGACCCCTACATTTATGTCATTTTATATCTTCACCTTTACAATTATATTACTATATATTACTAGTAATGTATGTGCCACCTAATATCCTCTTTTAATAATCCGTTATCTTAGACTTACGTATTTATAATTCATTGTCTCAGAATGATGTACACATATAAGTGTGTCTTACCAAGTGTAAGGAGCCACAAATTTCCACCAGACTGAGACTCTGGTATTACACCAGAGTAAATTAATACGCGAGGAAAAAACCGCGAATGTGTGAATGCAGATTAATGGAATGGGTATTTTAAGTCTTGGCATAGAATCTTAATGATGCTTCACCAGTGTCTTGAATAGATGCAACAACCCATAAACAATGTTCTGCAGACACTGTGCCAGCAGTGGGGTGATGGTTGTTTAGGCACATTCAGAACAAGTTGATCCACGAACTAATAGATCCAGAGGATCAAATATGGTGCCACCCACTTGAAAGCATGCCGAGATTTGATTGCTCTTCCCCTGCAGGGAGGTAGGAATCCATCGTCAAGCGGCTCCATATTTGATCTGCAGCTTAGTTAGTCCACGGATCAACTTTGTTGTGAATGCTGTCTTACAGTATGTTGTGGTTGAAAAGATTTCTTAATGAGGTGCTTGTTGTGAAAGGAGGATTGTGGTGGCCAGTTAAAAAGCTGGGATTAGACCGTGCCATCTGTAGGTTTCTGTAGATTTCTAGTTATTTGTTGTCATCTTTTAATTGCTGTCTGCTGGGGTTAACTGCATTTTTTTTTTTTTTTTTTTTTTTTTTAAACATTTGGTTATCATAAGTAACATGGTTTTCCCATAATGGTCATCATGGCAGCAGCACCCATAATTGTTTTCTTCTATTCTGATGCAATATTACATATTGGTTAACAGCATAATGACCGTCAATTTTTAATAATAAAATATACCTATCATGGATTTTCAGAAAATGTGACTAGCATGGGTCTTCAAGCATGTAGAACTTCAAAGTCACAACTTGAAAATGCCAAAATGTAAACAAGACAGCACTGTTCTGAAATGTTTTTTTTTTCCATTTTTAACAATTTTTAACATAAAACAAAATTAACAGCTTACTGCCATTTTTATATAATCAACTAAGAAAATTCATGAGATGGGAAAAATATCAATAGAGCAGTGTTAAATGTCCAATTTCTTCCATTCTGAGATTCTGAACATAGTGAATGATTGAATCTGACAAACTGCAATGATATGAGTTTATTTCCATTTTTGAAACTTTATTACACAATACACGATAACAAATTAACCATCATTTTTACAAAATCAACTAACAATGTTGTAAAGATGCAGGAAATGTCANACATGTAGCAAGCTGGGATTAAATATTTCTTCACAGGAGATAATTTGGCATTTAATTTACTAAGTGGCAATAGTATAGTAAGAGGTAAAAAAATATGTAGTTTCTAGCGAAACCCTGTAATTTCAACAATCTCAAGGATAAAGGTTGGTAAATAATTAAATGTAAATAGTGATAAGGAATTGAATGTCATTATTGTGTATTAGTTTTCCTGAATGATGGCATTTGTGAGTATACTATGCCCAATAATGGTGCAGTAAAGATTGCAAATTGTTTGTTCCATGTATACATCACTGGCTAGGAGATATCTTGAAGGGTATTGCAGCACAAATCTAAGGCATGTATTGTACTGTAGAATGGAAATTGTCTAAGGCTAACCCCCATTTCCATAGATTAGATCAACCTACTTTAGATCGACCTAACTCCCTGGGGGTTCACGCTAAATAGCTGTCAGCCGGGTGGACACGAAAGTTAATTATCCCCTTGCAGCTTGTAGTAGGCAGGACGGAGATTTAAGTCGGATTATCTGAAAGTAATCTAGTGAGACTCCCCGCGGGGATAGATCGATCTAAAATCTATGGGAATAGAGCCTTTGTGTAGGAGATTACTAATACTTGAATGGTGGATGACAGCACAGGTGCTCCAGGGCTAACAATGTGTCCCATTAAATGTACCAGTTTGTTAAGTGAATGGACCAGGACTTATCCATGCATCACATATATAATTATGGGGTGTTTTGTGTTTTAATTATTAAATGATGTCAAATACAATACCATATTCAAGTTTATTTTGCTTGTACTTAAGTTTTGCTTTTGAAGCTGCAAATTATAATTTGATGATGCAAGTGTTCACAGAGTGCATCCATGATGTCTTTCAGCCTGTGACTGAGTATGTTGTGTAATAAAAATTAGACAGATTAACCAACTGGAGACAAGATGTTAGTTACCATTCTTGAATCTTTGATTGATGATGTCATTGAAGATTAAAGTAGCATTCTTAAAGAAGATAGATAAAGGTAGATTCAGATGTGGCAGAAAAAAATGGAATTTTAGTACTTACAAGTTTGAAATATAATGAGCAATAGAGAAGGTACAAGTGCAGTACATGTATATGAAATGTAACCTTTGGAAACAATACTGTCCTTTGAAAATGGCTTACTAGTTCTGTACATTGACTAGAAATGGTAAATTGTTGAAATTTCTAGGGAATTCCTTTAGTTTACTATTTATTTAGGTCTAATGCACATTCATTGTTTTATTACCTTGAACTATTCACTCCAATGACTACGAGATTGAAAAACCAACCACAAAAGTTTTTGTTCAGGATCTGCTCCCTCTTTCTGTTTTGGACCAGTAGATTCTTAGATCCTCTCTTTCATATATTAAATAGACTTAGGCATATTTATTCACTTACAAGTGAAACTTAAAAGGAATCATTTAAGCTTTAATCATCCCTGAAGTTCAGGTTTATCCTTTTAAGTGAAACTTTCCTTAGGAAAGTGAAAAACTTGATGCAAATTTGCTGCAAACGTTAACTAAAAAGCTCGCAAGAAACTTTTTGAGGTTGTTGTAAGAAAAAATAGTTGCTGTGAATTTCCTCTAGCAAATTTGATGCAAATATATACAGCAACAGTTTGCAAGAAGTCTAAATTTTAGGTAAGGTTAGGATATTTTATATATGTTGCAAGAAGATGAAGAAAGGACATTTGAATTTATTTGCTTATATTAATAACACTCTCTTCTTATGTCATTGATTGTATGTAGAAACGTCAACATTACAAATTGCAAGCACAAAACCAAATTGTCTGTGCAATTTTTGCTTGACTTACCTTTTAAAATTTAATTTTTCTCTGTCATTTAATAGTCAGGCAAGTCACCAGAAGGTCACTATCGCCCCCTAGTGCCAAAAGTAAACAGCAGCCAACCAAGAGGAGTTCTTTACAAGCCTCAGATTTCAAATCTACACCAAGACAAACCACAAATAGGAAATCACTGTCGCCATTTGGTGTTAAAGTTACACCAAGACAGACCAGCAGCAGAAGATCATTTTCGCCATCTGGTGTGAAGTTACGAGGAAGTCCATCTGTTCTTTGTGGTGAAAGCAGTGTGGCAAGTCCAGCGTGTAAGAAGAGGAATGCTAAGGGAGAGACACCACTTCACATAGCTGCTATTAAAGTAAAATACCATAGTTTTCTTAGGCCAAATATTATATTTCTCTGTCTCTCTTTACATATATATATATATGTAAAAAAGATAGATAGATAGATAGATATGATTATGAATCTACCTTGATCTGCAATCAGGAGTGAGTGATATGTGCAAACTTTTTTGCTTTCCATTATGTTAATAAATTATTGTTGTGATTGTTATTTATTTTAATAACCTGATTATCAGATTAATATCTTAAACTTGATAAAAACTGTGGAAAATATCTTGGATATGTTGCTTTACTCTTTTTACTCTTGAATTTTTTTTTTTTTAAATTAAATTAACATTTTAAAGTAAACCATCAGATATTGATTTTGTTGAAGGTTCATTTTCATTATTTCAATGTTTATTTCAGGGTGACAGTGTGCTAGTGGACAGCTTGTTGTCCGAGGGAGCTGACCCTAACACCAAGGACAATGCAGGGTGGACTCCACTGGTGAGGATTTAGAGGTGCCAANAAATGAAACAAGACCTTTTTTGGATTTTTTTACCTATTTTGGATTTTTTGTCCAAATGGTCAATTTTTTATTTATTTATTTATTATTATTTTTTTAGAGGGCTTCTCTGATTTGATTTAGTATCCACCGTGTCAAGATTTTTTCGTTTAGCCACTCCACTAGGATGCCATGTTTTGCTTTCTAGAGATCAGCATTCAGTGTCCTCTCTAAATACTATTTTCTGACCCCACCTTCAATAATTACCAACCTCGCTCAAGTATCTAGCTCAGTATTTTACCATTTTACGTGCCGCTCGGTCGTCAAGGTGTTCCTACTCGAGCAACAGGGTGACTCCCGCTCTCGCTACCAACACCAACCGTTATTGAGCTGAGGAAATAATTTCTTCCTCTCCTTTCATCTACTATTAATACAGACTACTGACCCCTACATTTATTTATGTCATTTTATATCTTCACCTTTACAATTATATTACTATATATTACTAGTAATGTATGTGCCACCTAATATCCTCTTTTAATAATCCGTTATCTTAGACTTATGTATAAGAGTTGTGTCTTACCAAGTGTAAGGAGCCACAAATTTCCACCAGACTGAGACTCTGGTATTACACCAGAGTAAATTAATACGTGAAGAGAAACCTTACATGTGTGAACACAGATTAATGGAATGGGTATTTAAAGTCTTGGCATAGAATCTTAATGATGCTTCACCAGTGTCTTGAATAGATGCAACAACCCATAAACAATGTTCTGCAGACACTGTGCCAGCAGTGGGGTGATGGTTGTTAAGGCACATTCAGAACAAGTCGATCCACGAACTAATAGATCCACGAACTAATAGATCCAGAGGATCAAATATGGTGCCACCCACTTGAAAGCATGCCAAGATTTGATTGCTCTTCCCCTGCAGGGAGGTAGGAATCCATCGTCAAGCGGCTCCATATTTGATCTGCAGCTTAGTTAGTCCACGGATCAACTTTGTTGTGAATGCTGTCTTACAGTATGTTGTGGTTGAAAAGATTTCTTAATGAGGTGCTTGTTGTGAAAGGAGGATTGTGGTGGGCAGTTAAAAAGCTGGGATTAGACCGTGCCATCTGTAGGTTTCTGTAGATTTCTAGTTATTTGTTGTCATCTTTTAATTGCTGTCTGCTGGGGTTAACTGCATTTTTTTTTTTTTTTTAGAATAAATTTTACTGTAGCCAACATTTTCTAAAAGAGCAAATTTTCTCTAAGTCAAATGCTTGCTAGTAATGTATGTGCCACCTAATAAAGTTTGTGTGCACACTTAAAATGGCTTGCTGTTAAAGGTGTATTGTGGAAAATTTTGAAGCTTTTGCCATATTGGCAAAAGCATTCATTTTTATTTTTGCTAAATTAAAATATATAATAAGCCAATGGTGAGTTAAGGAGGGAAGCAGAGGTATTGATGACACTGGTGTATACATGTAGCAAGCTGGGATTAAATATTTCTTCACAGGAGATAATTTGGCATTTAATTTACTAAGTGGCAATAGTATAGTAAGAGGTAGAAAAAATATGTAGTTTCTAGCGAAACCCTGTAATTTCAACAATCTCAAGGATAAAGGTTGGTAAATAATTAAATGTAAATAGTGATAAGGAATTGAATGTCATTTTTGTGTATTAGTTTTCCTGAATGATGGCATTTGTGAGTATACTATGCCCAATAATGGTGCAGTAAAGATTGCAAATTGTTTGTTCCATGTATACATCACTGGCTAGGAGATATCTTGAAGGGTATTGCAGCACAAATCTAAGGCATGTATTGTACTGTAGAATGGAAATTGTCTAAGACTAACCCCCATTTCCATAGATTAGATCAACCTACTTTAGATCGACCTAACTCCCTGGGGGTTCACGCTAAATAGCTGTCAGCTGGGTGGACACGAAAGTTAATTATCCCCTTCCAGCTTGTAGTAGGCAGGACGGAGATTTAAGTCGGATTATCTGAAAGTAATCTAGTGAGACTCCCCGCGGGGATAGATCGATCTAAAATCTATGGGAATAGAGCCTTTGTGTAGGAGATTACTAATACTTGAATGGTGGATGGCAGCACAGGTGCTCCAGGGCTAACAATGTGTCCCATTTTATGAACCAGTTTGTTAAGTGAATGGACCAGGACTTATCCATGCATCACATATATAATTATGGGGTGTTTTGTGTTTTAATTATTAAATGATGTCAAATACAATACCATATTCAAGTTTATTTTGCTTGTACTTAAGTTTTGCTTTTGAAGCTGCAAATTATAATTTGATGATGCAAATGTTCACAGAGTGCATCCATGATGTCTTTCAGCCTGTGACTGAGTATGTTGTGTAATAAAACAAATTAGACAGATTAACCAACTGGAGACAAGATGTTAGTTACCATTCTTGAATCTTTGATTGGTGATGTCATTGAAGATTAAAGTAGCATTCTTAAAGAAGATAGATAAAGGTAGATTCAGATGTGGCAGAAAAAAATGGAATTTTAGTACTTACAAGTTTGAAATATAATGAGCAATAGAGAAGGTACAAGTGCAGTACATGTATATGAAATGTAACCTTTGGAAACAATACTGTCCTTTGAAAATGGCTTACTAGTTCTGTACATTGACTAGAAGTGGTAAATTTTTTAAATTTGTAGGGAATTCCTTTAGTTTACTATTTATTTAGGTCTAATGCACATTCATTGTTTTATTACCTTGAACTGTTCACTCCAATGACTATGAGATTGAAAAACCAACCACAAAAGTTTTTGTTCAGGATCTGCTCCCTCTTTCTGTTTTGGACCAGTAGATTCTTAGATCCTCTCTTTCATATATTAAGTAGACTTAGGCATATTTATTCACTTACAAGTGAAACTTAAAAGGAATCATTTAAGCTTTAATCATCCCTGAAGTTCAGGTTTATCCTTTTAAGTGAAACTTTCCTTAGGAAAGTGAAAAGCTTGATGCAAATTTGTTGCGAACGTTAACTAAAAAGCTCGCAAGAAACTTTTTGAGGTTGTTGCAAGAAAAAATAGTTGCTGTGAATTTCCTCTAGCAAATTTGATGCAAATATATGCAGCAACAGTTTGCAAGAAGTCTAAATTTTAGGTAAGGTTAGAATATTTATATATATGTTGCGAGAAGATGAAGAAAGGACATTTGAATTTATTTGCTTATATTAATAACATTCTCTTCTTATGTCACTGATTATATGTAGAAATGTCTACATTACAAATTGCAAGCACAAAACTAAATTGTCTGTGCAATTTTTGCTTGACTTACCTTTTAAAATTGAATTTCTCTCTGTCGTTTAATAGTCAGGCAAGTTACCAGAAGGTCACTATCGCCCCCTAGTGCCAAAAGTAAACAGCAGCCAACCAAGAGGAGCTCTTTACAAGCCTCAGATTTCAAATCTACACCAAGACAAACCACAAATAGGAAATCACTGTCGCCATTTGGTGTTAAAGTTACACCGAGACAGACCAGCAGCAGAAGGTCATTTTCGCCATCTGGTGTGAAGTTACGAGGAAGTCCATCTGCTCTTTGTGGTGAAAGCAGTGTGGCAAGTCCAGCGTGTAAGAAGAGGAATGCTAAGGGAGAGACACCACTTCACATAGCTGCTATTAAAGTAAAATACCATAGTTTTCTTAGACCAAATATTAGATTTCTCTGTCTCTCTTTACATATATATATAAAAGATAGATAGATAGATATGATTATAAATCTACCTTGATCTGCAATCAGGAGTGACTGATATGTGCAAACTTTTTTGCTGTCCATTATGTTAATTAATTATTGTTGTGATTGTTATTTATTTTAATAACCTGATTATCAGATTAATATCTTAAACTTGATAAAAACTGTGGAAAATATCTTGGATATGTTGCTTTACTCTTTTTACTCTTGAATTTTTTTTTTTTAAATTAAATTAACATTTTAAAGTAAACCATCAGATATTGATTTTGTTGAAGGTTCATTTTCATTATTTCAATGTTTATTTCAGGGTGACAGTGTGCTAGTGGACAGCTTGTTGTCCGAGGGAGCTGACCCTAACACCAAGGACAATGCAGGGTGGACACCACTGGTGAGGATTTAGGGGTGCCAAGGGGGGGGGGGGGGTTGAATAACTGACCTGACACCTTTGTTCTCAAGCATTACCCTTTTTTAAAAGTTTTGGTGAAACGGGTTAAATATCCTCATTTAATTGTATTTATCTTAAAAGGATAACGACTGTTCATCTTGGCCAAAAAGTGAATTTTCCTGGGGTAAATGGCAATTTTCTCATACTTACCAATGGTTAATGCATCCATTTCTCCATTCATAGTTGGGCCCTGTATATTTCAATGAGTTGTAACAATGTATTTATTATTAAATATAGATCTCATGTGAAGAGTTGTTATCCCTTTAACTTATCCCTGGTAAAAGTTTCCATAATAAGAAAAAACTAATAACCCACTTACTTTCTTTCATGTTATCAGCTTTATATGTTCCATTCCAGCATGAAGCCTGTAACCATGGTTACACAGAGATAGCAGAGAAGTTGTTGAAGGCGGGTGCATACATTGATATGCCGGGTTTAGACAACGACACACCTCTGCACGATGCTGTCCAGAATAACAGGGTCAAGGTGGTCAAGCTGCTGGTCAGCTATGGGGCTTCACTGAACACAAGGTGACTGGACTGTCTGTCTGTCTGTCCCTCTGTGCGTCTGGCATTACCAGAGGGTATTTGTAAGGTTTCTGACTGGTACAGGAGGTACTTGTGCGGTTGTAACAGACTTGTGAGGTTTTCCCACAAGTGCCCATAGTTAAAAAGTCATATCTCCCCCTAAAAGCCTCACAAATTTCGTTTTTAAATCCAACCTCACAAGATTTNTGTGCGTCTGGCATTACCAGAGGGTATTTGTAAGGTTTCTGACTGGTACAGGAGGTACTTGTGCGGTTGTAACAGACTTGTGAGGTTTTCCCACAAGTGCCCATAGTTAAAAAGTCATATCTCCCCCTAAAAGCCTCACAAATTTCGTTTTTAAATCCAACCTCACAAGATTTTCGGACAGTGCTGTCTGTCCGTTTTCAAAAGTCCCGTGAAAATGGCAAGATTCAAGTACTTCCTTTTCTGTTAAAAAATTGTGAGGTTTCGCGCCTCAGAAACAAGGCGAGCTGTGAATGGTCGATTAGCGATCACACCAACCAATCGCAGCTCACTTATTAGACGAGCAGAGGCTCGTTTGCGCATGCGTGGTAAATAGACGCCATATATGGTCGCGATACACCGGCAAACATATTGAACTGGGGACTGCGCAGGCGCCGTCCGATTGCCACCTGTTGCTGAAGACCGAGAAGTGACGACAAGCAGACGATTTACAGTAAGGTGAGTCCAATGGATATCATTTAGCCCCATAAGTAAGATGTTTTACACTTATGTTTCAATAAGATTTTTATCAAGTATTTCTATAGATAATTACATATTAGATCTAGTTATATAATAACGGAAAAGCCTTGTTTGAATGTGATATGTCGGCGAGAAAAATGATATTACAATCGATCTCGGAACACGTGGTTTTGTTTATGCGTAGTTACTGCATTTCTGTGTTTATTTCATCCGAAAGAATAATATCGTTAGGTAATATCTGCATCCATGCATTTTAGGATTCCGACTTGGGAGGTTTTTACTGTACAGTAGTAAATGAGCGTTCATAAATCAGCTGTCAAAGGAATTTTCATCGACCTAGTTTTGTCCTCAAAACTAATAACAATTTATTTGGTCGGTTAACAATGCTGATCTTAATTATTTGGTAGATGTTACTTGATCTGTGTGTTAAAGCAAGTTCCCATAGCTTGAGAATACTGTAATATATTGATATTATATGATAATATTGGCCGCGCGATTGTGCCAAATGCGCGACCCTTTTCTGAAAGGCGCAAGTAAAATTTTAATCTGCGTCATAGTGGCGCGTACAAAAAGCAAACACTTTTCTCCCAAAGAAAACCGGCATAAATTTAGAATTTCTGACGTGTAACGTCAGTCACAATGTCCGAACTATTAGATAAGAGAGCATTTAAAATACGAAGTCCAGGCCCAGTTGCCAGTGCTTTTTGCCACTTCATGACAAGCTTCAGTGCCAAAAAGTAGGTCATGAATTGATACTTAGTTAAAAAGTAGGTCATGAATTGATACTTAGTTAAAAAGTAGGTCATGAATTGATACTTAGTTAAAATTACCTTTGCCCTAATGAGCATTTTCTGGCCACCTTGAGAAATTCTGGGGTTCATACATTGTTTGTACATCTTTTTATGAGTTTAAAGCAAATGAATAGTCTACTGGAACTTTATTGTTTTGATCTAAAAAAGAATATCCTCGCTTGGAGTCTAAATCAGATTCTCCCAATCAAAGGTATTATACAGTTTAAAAAAAATGACACCGATGTGTATTCCCCACTACTACACGTTTTTTTTTTGGGGGGGGGACCGCCCCTTTTGCTGGGAAAAGGTTCACTCTGGGTAAAATTTGATCTAGGTACATGAGGTTTTTATGGAAAAAGGTCCATTAAAAATGGGAATTGTCAATCTTTAACATGCAGTGCAATTATTCAGCATAGTGCAATTATTAATTCTGAAAGATTTTCCATTATTAAGTAGGCTATATTTTTTAGGACAGTACAATTGTTAATTATGGAAGATTTTCCACACACTACAATTATTTAGGACTTTATAGTAGTAGCATCAAGCCTTTTTTCATGTTTTTAATCATATAAAAATATAATAAATTTTCTCTAAACAATTCACGGCACACATTTTTTTAAAAATGGCCCACTTTTTTTGACAAAGTGTACACTTTTTTTGACCAAGATAGAAACCTCATAAATATACAGACAACAACCTTAGTCTAGAAGTATA